CCCCCCAAAAAAAACCTTCCTTCGCCTCGGCTCCACCGGCTGCCCCTGAGTTCCTGAGGGCCAAATATGCTCCTCGCAAATATCCTCCTCGCGAGGAGTGGTTTTGGCTCCTGCGGGGCCGGGGAGGGGATATTTAAAGAGATCTTGTCGGGGCCGGGGAGGGGAGCGGATGCACACTGCAACTGAGGAAGGGTTCCATTATTGTGATGCAGGCTCTGAGACAGAAGGGGGTGTCCAAGAGGCCGAGCTCATAGACACTTCCGGGATTAAACGGAATTCTCCGCCACTTTCGTTACCAGTGCCAAGGTATCGAGAGCTTTCACCAGATTTCATTTTGATGCCGGAAGTTGCGAACGACACTCTAGGAGGAGGAACTCTCGGAGTTCATCGGTAGCTTTCAGTTTGGCGGCGTTTTCAGCTAGCGACGTCGTGTTCGCACGTGGTTCTGTTATTGGGCATGGAGGCGGCTGAGGTTTGTGTCGCTGCGAGTCCTAATCCGGGACTAGGGCTCTGTGGGACCTGGATGGTGATCAGAGGGGGGACCAAGCTCCTAGCCGCCCGTTACAAAGAGCCCAGGTGAGGGCGTGGGAGTTCTGCCTTGGACGGGGCATCTGAGGATCAGTCCGTGCAAAGAGCGAGATTTGATCCTCTATCCAAGCCTGCTCTAATAAGGGGGGGTTTGTTATGGAGGGATATTAAGGGTGATTCCTTTAATCGAATGCACGAATGTGCCTTATATTGGTAGATTCAGGTGGGTAGCCCGTTGGTCTGACGCAGCAGAACAAAGTTCGAGTCCCCCTCTACCTATATATGTGAACTGCTAACTTCCATTGCAGTGCATCTGAAGAAGTGTGTGCGCGCAGGAAAGCTTATATCTTGAATAAAACTTTGTTGGTCTTAAAAGTGCTGTACCACTGGACTACTTTGTTCTGCCTCATACTGAGTCAGACTATTAGTGTCTCTAGCTCAGAAGTGCCTGCTTTCTGAGATCCTTTCTGGATAAACATATCAGAGCATTAATCTTTCATATTTTCTGCCTTGATACATACTCTTGGAAGGGGTATATGCAAAGGT